AAAGATTTACACCCTCGGAAACCCTGTACAGGGTCGCTATGGGTCGGACCCGACTCGATGGCACTTAACAACAACAACAACAAAAGTGATGAGAACCCTCTCCTCTAATATACAAAGCAGAATCCTGAGCAAGTGTTTTGCTTTTCCTTTACCTGAAGTCCAGAACTGAAGTGTCAAATTCTCTTATATTAATATCCCTAAGCTTATAAAATGCTAAGGTGCTATTAAAATTAGCATCAACAAACAAGTTTGCATCCTAGGAATCCTTTTTATTTTTGCTAAATCTCTTTATATCTCATTATCTTCAAATATTATTTTTAAGATAAGTAACACAAAAATCACTTACTTTCACCTTCCTGAAGCATTTTCAGTAGCTGTGCATTTCTTGCCTTTACTTCTTTATACTTTGCCTAACAGTCAAAGAAAAAAGGCTTAGTTTAAAAAAAAACAAACAAATGATGTAATTAATGATTTACTATAAATTCTAGGTTTGCTCAAAGACAAATTACTTCAGAACGTAACAGGATGGAGTAAAATGTATTCAGAACATTATACTTAATCAAACCTCTAGCATAGTAATAGAAGAGAAAGAAAAGTGGAGAAAACTTAGAATAATATTAAAATTTCCTAAAAGAAGTTTAACAAAATTCATACACAATTAAAAATAATTTAGTTGAAAATAATTAAATGAACCAGCACAGAACTGTTTCTTCTTCTGGAAGAGTTCATGGTACTTTCAATATTCTTCTCCGACACCATAATTCAAAATGCGCTGATTCTTCTACAGTGTTACTTACTCACTGTCCAACTTTCATATGCAGATGAGGTGATCGAAAACATCATGACTTGGGTTTGGTGCACCTTAGTCCTTGAAATGACATTTTAAAAGTGGTCTTTTGCATATGTGCTTAATGCAATACAACACTCGATTTATAGACTGTTGCTTTCATGAATGTTGATTATGGATCCAACCAAAATAAAGTCTTTGACAACTTTAATCTAGTTTCTGTTTATCATTATGTTATTTTTACTGTTCTACTTGCCAAGATTTTCCTTTTCTTTCACATGGAGGTGCAATTCATGATGGTTGTATTATTCACATATCGCAGGTTGTTAACGAGTCTTCCTCCAATCCTGATGCCACATTTTTCTTCATATAGCCCAGCTTCTCAGATTATTTGCTCGACATACAGGTTAAATTAAGTATGGTGAATGAATACAACCCTGTCACACACCTTTTTTAATTTTGAACCATTAAGGATTAAGCCATGTTCTGTTCGAACAACTGCTTCTTGGTCCACATACAGCTTCCTCATGGGTACAATTAAGTGCTCTGGAATACTTATACTTCACAATGTTGTCCATAGCTTGTGTGTCATGATCCAAACAATCGAAAGCCTTTGCATAGTCAATAAAGCACAGGTAAATATCTTTCTGATATTCTCTATTTTCAGCCAAGAGCCATCATGATGTTAGGAAGTTTTATTCCAACAACTCTTTGATATTTTCTCCGTGTTTTTTACTGTCTCCTCCTGTTGTTAAATTCTGATCACCTGTTAGGTATTTGTTTTCATGGTGTCCCACAAGAATCTTAGGCTCTCCTCAGATTTTTTTTTTTTTTTCATTCTTTTTTCTGATTGTTTTTCTAGCATACTAGTATACAAGATTTAACTTTAAGCTTTAATTTGGGCTTCCAGTGCTTTGAATCTACTCTTTTGCCTTTTTAATGGATTGTCCATTTCTGAAATATTAGTACTAATCCTCTGAATTATAATTGCAGATTTTTTATTGTTTCAAAA